GTTATTCAAGCACTTAAATATTTACAAAATATTATCATTTCCCAAATGTTATGTGGAAAGTTAACTGTTTATAAGTTATAACGCATCGGTCGCATCGTATACTCGTGTAATATTATATTTTGACAATAATAATAATATAATGTCCCCCAAGCACAGGTCAACGGAATTCGGAAAATTACGTTAAGCATATTATGTGACGTCGTGATGTGTGGTAACAAGTAGGTACAACGCAGTTACCAGTCCGGTATAATCGGTATAGATCGTTTATATTGTGCATATCGTATGCGAAGGCATTATAATATATTATATTATATACCTATAACAGATTGTGGACTTCTACGACGTGTGTATCTATATAAATATAGATGTCGGAGATATCTCCCGACAACGTAATCGGAGTTGTCTCCCTGCTATTTACTAGGTAGAAGCAATATTATATAGGTACCTAAGTAGGTATATACTCGTGCCCCGACGTACATAACACTTGTACGTGATGTTAGCCATTTAAGTGCACACTTAAAATAGTAAAAAAAAAAACTCGTGGACATAACTTATATTTTTGCGGCAATCTGCCACGACAGACTATCGCGGTCACACAAATCGTACCTATATCATACCTACGACTGACGTATATACCGGGTGATTCTGTTGACAACTAAACACAATATTTAACAATTGTCTTATAATATTAAAAAGTATTGACGTTTTTGTTTCCAATTTTTATTTATTTTAATGACAACATACATTTTAATTTTTTTATTTCTTATTCGTGCAAAATATAGGTAATTTTTCTGAGAATTTTGAAGTGTACAAAATACAAATTGATTTGAATGAGTACCTACTTAATAAGTTATAAGTTATCAGTAAGTTTTTAAGATGTAAATCAACTAAGTGGAGGGTTGTATATTCAAAAAAGAAAAAACTTAAAAAGTTAGAACGATTTAAATTGTAATAATATAGTTTTAAATAATGCTGTATACCATAAATTATGTAAAAAAATATTTTTCAAAACCTTTATTAATAAGTTAATACGTTATTTATACACATACTTACTTTAGATATTACTAGTGTTTACCGTTAAAACTTAAAATTATCACTCCATGTTAATACGGTTCTGACGCAAATGGCACGTCGAGACGGCACTGCTCCTCGAAGGTTGTCGCTCTATACGATTATTATATTATCTGTTGTCAATTTTGACCGAAAGTCCAAATGATTATTTGAACGTGTTCCGGTAACAGGTGGCCTATACTATATAGAATTCGATTTCAATAATTTTTTTATAATTATAAACGCATATTACAATACATCAGGTGTGTATATTATTGTGTCATAACTTGTATTATCACCATTATACACTGTACTCTTCATATGTATATTATGCATCTATATAGTCTATACACACTGTAGAGTAACTTTAATTTATATTATTTATCTTCAATCATATCTGTGAAGCTGAAATTTACGATGACTCAAGCTCATTGTTATGCGTTATACATTTTTTCTTACGGTTTAATAATATTATTATGGTGTATATTATAAGAGCTACTTAAAAATTAAAATATACACAATTGGAATGGTTGTGAGGAAAACATATTTATCTCGTACTCGAGAAAGTAAAACGTGTAAAACAGTTACATTCTAAGAACGTTCTTTCCTAAAAAAAATCAGTGAACATTTTTTTATTATATTAAATCAAATTTTATTGGTAATAAAAAATGATTTTATAACTAAAACGATATGTAGGTATAGTATAAGTACATAAGATATAATGGATTCAGGTGTCAATGTATTATGCGTATTCCTCGGTATTTATACTGTTATAGATGTATATTTTTAATATATAATTGAAAAATATTTCTCATGTTGTTATATAATAAACTAAAAACTAATAAATATATTTTGAACAAAGTTGATAGTTGATACATAATAATATTATAGAAATTAAATTTCATTGTAGAAAATAAATGTTATTAATTCATTATTTATATATATGTTAGTTTGTTAATTATTATTTTTAGTGGTATAATTAATAATATTATAACAATAAATTTAAATTTTAAGTAGGTAAGTACATAATATAATAATACGTCAATAAAATCAAAAAATGTGATTTTTAAAGTTGAAATTAAAAAAATAATCTGTTTATCTAATTAAATGTATGACAAAAACTTTAAATAAGATAGGTAGGTGTATTTTACAATTAAAAATATCTTGTTAATACTGACCTGAGAGTAGTCGTTTGGTACAGATGTCAATTTTGGAATATTGTCCAGGTCAGTTAAGAAATGACGTCATTGGACTTTTGACACGTGCCAATGTCAAACTATATTATAGAGAATCAAGGTGACTTTAGTCTTTAAGAACTAACTACCAAAAACGAAATTTGCAATTAATTAACTTAGCAATTTTTCATTTTTAACATTTCTACTTTATACATATCATACTCTTTTATACATTTATCATTATTTCTTAATGTCTATATAATTTTTTTATAAGTTCAAAAGCAATAATACGATTCTTTTTAAACTGTTAGTTAGATGTGTATCATTTTAATATGAAGACATGTTTTAAACTTTCCTAAATTATTATTTGTTTTTTTCCCCAATGGAATTATTAGAAAAAGGTTAAGTAAACTACAAACAAACATAATTACAATCAAACCTAGGTCGATTTGAAAAAAACTGTTGATCTGAAAATTAAATATTACATATCTATATATATATATAAATGAATGAATGTGTATATGTGTGTCCTTTATGCAATCATAAACGGCTTGACAGGATGAAATTTTGTACAGAAATAGATTAGACATCTGGGAAGTAGATAGACAATTTCAAAAGGGTAAATTAGAGGTCCAGCCCTGGGAGGTGCTCAAACAGGGATTTTGAGATTTACGATGCATATTTTTGTTTGAAAATGGTTGCTTTTTATTTTAATAATAATTATTATTATTAAAGCGATAAGGCTGTTGGCGTAGTGTCACTTCTATGTCTTTTAGTACAGAATGCCTCAAGTTCGAACCACGGTTTCAGTGGACCAATTTTTAGATTTTGAGTGGAACGTTGAATGTATTGATTTTACAATGATGAGTGTTTTTTTTTTTTTTTTTTTTTGTCACTGTCATCAACTTTTAGGACAGTAGAAGTACTTGGATTTTTTTCAACTGTATCTTTTCTGATAGGAAAGTGAATCTAGTTGGTACTTTGGGGGGTCAAAAGTAAAAATTTCCCAGTAATTTTCAAAAGCGCCTCGAAAAACAAAAGAAAAATTAAGGAAAAACGAGAATTTTGAAAACAGGAAATCTGTTTTCTAGAAAATCGATTTTAATTGTTGGTGTAACTCTAAAACATATTAATGTATATAAATGAAATTTTCACTGGTGTTTATATTTGCATTTTCTATACACGATAAAATTTTCGAAATATTATGATTTGTTTTGAACTGTTTAGGAACATTTTCATTTTTCGTTTTTTTTTAGTTCTTTTTCTAAAAATATCAATAAAATGTTATTTGTTGGTTAAAAAAGCTTGAAAATTTAATAGAAGGCTCCTACTATATTGTCACAGTATCAGTTGAAAAATCTTAAAAATACATAGGCACAATTTTTTTTTATAAGTTGTTAAAGATCGCATTTTGACAAAATTTATCAAATTTAAAATTGAATAATTATTTTGTAGTTAAAAATTTATAAAATGTTCAACGTTTATATCTAATGATTGAAAATTTAAGACAAGATTCCATGTAAGTAGTTAATTCTGTTATCAAAAAATCTAAAAAATACACAAACACAGTCTATTTTTATAGTCATTTAGGGTTCAAATTTGGACGAATTACATATTAAAAACCTAGAATAACTATTTTAGTTATTTTGTTGTGATTGTATAATATTATTCGTGGGTACTTGAAACTTCTAAAGTATACTACTATATATCTATGATAGTATCACAGTTTGTTGTTGATGTATAACGTTTTATAAGTACCTAATGGATATTGTGATATGATTAATTTGGAATTTATTATAGGCACCTATTATAGGTCAATTTTTTTTATACCATAGATAAGTATATAATATGTCTTATACTTAGGGCCGTTCTTACAATGTCCTGTAAAGTGTCGGTTAACGCTAACCGACTGATAACAGATTTTATTACCGGCAGAATTCTTCCGGTTAAGTGTCGGTTAACTTTAACCGGACATCGTAAGATCGTAAGATAGACTGACATACCGTCTCCACTCAGAATCGTTTTTCTTATACAATGATATTATATTATTGAATTTAAATATAATACCATCCATTATACAGTGACAAACTTGTAACCTACTGTACAGTAGAGCACCTTTTTTTTGCATTGTTTTTTTCTTATTTTTCCTTTTTTCATTTTTCTTCTTTATCTATACATGAGAATGTTTGGTTTTTTTTATTCATCGGATTTTAGTACTGTTATGTTAGGTTAGGATTTTGTATTAATCCGCCTTTGGTTGAATTAAGTAAAAACGACAAACCTGGTATAACTTTGATACGTTAGTGTTAAATTATACACTTAGGTACTTACAAATCATACAAGGTCCACGATATACCGCAGGCAGATTGCCTAGCCGATAATATAATGCTTCGAATCCTGGGGACAACGCCGGTCGGGAAGGCTATACATTAAAATATAATATAATTTACACTTGAAAAGACATTACTTCTACAGCGTGTTACATCCAAAAGGAGTTGAACAATCTGAATTTTTTTGCCGGGCAACACCGGGTAAATCAGCTATTTGTAATAAAGATGAATGTCCAAAATAATAAATCTACAGTATTTAACTACATCGTTTGGCAAGATATAACTATTTTATTTTGTATACCTACTCGAAGACTGAAAATCGAAATAGATCGTATTTCTTAATATTTAATACCTAGAAATAATTGTAGACCTGTTTGATTAAAATTTATTAAATTATTAAATGTATTAAATTAAATATATATAATATTATATTTATTTTTTTCAGACACAGATTTACCAAATGAATGTCAATTCGCAGATTGTAGTTTTCTTCACTCAAATACTTGCCGAGAACATCGTCTGATTACTGCTTGTTGTTGTAATCAGTTCCTCGCACATAAGAAGTAAACTTATTGCAACTATAAATTATTTCAGCTATATATTATTTCATCTAACCTATATCAATCAACAAACAAACCAACCAACCTTTTAGGATTAACATTTTTAAAGGTTTGAAAAATGGTATGAATTAAAAACTACATTGATGTAAATACTTAAGAACCAATAGTCCTTATACCTACCTATTTTATATTTTCAATATTAATAATTGTACATTTTTATAGATCTTATAGTTTATAATTGATTATTATCATGATTAATAGCTTACTATATTCATAAATTATAATGTTTAAATGAGTTTTTATTTTTTATATACTTACTTCATTGTATTTTTTTTTTTTTACACCATAGTTCGATAGTTGAATCGATGTTTTTACCAATAATTTTAATGATTACATTTTATAATGTCATTGTTATGTAGAGTGGTAGGTGTAGGTGTCAGATGTAGGTCATACGGGAATTTTTTCCACCAAAAAATTCAAGCTTTCTATTTTTCACCCCATGGCTCCACTTTAGATCATTTCTGTTGGGGGATACCTTATACAGTTATTATAGTATTGCGCATTAGTAAATGCCGTTTTTACCCACTATTCTGCTTTTTATCCGAAAACTAATTAAGAGTTTTCAAGAACTCTCTTAAATTATTTAATTTTAATTTTAAGTTTATAATTATTTTATATTGCCTATGATAAATATGGTAGTATAGTTGTTTTTAAGGAAACGATTTATGTCAGTAAATTGGTTGAACGATTATCATACATAATTTTACAGTATACGCACTGAACTTTAATAATATACAGATAACCGACACTAGACAGTATATATTATTATTATTGTGAAGAACGAAACTTGAGTGAATGAATAGTTGTTTTTGTTTGTGTGTTTTTTAAATATTTTTAAGTAAATATTGGGGGATGTGAGGAGATTACATTTCATGTAATATCAGGGGTGGGCGTCTATACAGCTCCCCCTCAACATTTTAGCCCTAGTTGCGCGCCACTGACAACAGTATTACTATATTATAGTATATATTATACTATAGCACATATTTATTATTATTTCAGATAATGAATGGTATAGCACATTTTAATTATTATTTAAGTATTAAATAGGTAATAGGTATGTTTTATTTAATGTATCTACCTATATTATGTTTGACAAATAAATAAGTAATTGTTTAACCATAAGCTTTATTTGAAATCAAATTAAATAATACGCATTATTCCCGCACTATAGTCGACGTAACGTCTGTATACATAAATACATTGTTATATTAATATTATATATTAAAAACTGTACTTTAGCAACTAATATTCACTAGGTACAGAAAAAATTGTTTCCGGTTTTTTTTTTTTATTATTTTGTTATTTATTATTATTCGATATTTTTATATTTAGATTTGTATTTTTGAGTTGAAAAAAAAATAAACAGTGAATTTTATATAATGTATAATTCAAATTTATTTTATCAATATTACTTAGTTTTACATACTTATTGGCGTTTATGTACCCACCTAACCGGATTTTTTTTTTAAATATTATAATAAATGATTAGGTATTATGTTAATTCATAACTTAAAAAAATATACATATGAATGTAAATAATCATTTATTTGTGTAAATTATATTCAAGAAATTGATTTTAGTCTCCTATAATATATTTTATATTATAATTATCTTTATCACTTATCAGGTATTGTTAGATAAATACTAAATAATATAATATTTGGTCATTGTTTTTTTTTCCAGGGCTTGCAAACGTTATTTGACAAAAAACGATTGAAATTTGTAAACCTTATTATAACGTATAAGCGATGTGCAAAAATAATTAAATACCACAAAACAAAACTTAATGATTAACAAAATATATTATATTATATCATATAACGTAAAATGTCGTTTATAGAATATCATTAAACGAAAAATAACACAAAACGTAATTTATGGAATATCATTGAACGAAAAATAAATAAAATAATTTATTTCAAAGGTCTATTGGTTTCGTAGGAACATTTATTTCATGCAAACAATCTAAGAAATAAGAATTGATTACATTATGTTCCGTATCCGGGCCATTACCTACCGGCATTAGTTATTATTTTTAAATTTAATAGGTATTAATATTATTCTAATTAACGATAAGCTCAAAACTTTTAATTCTGAATAACACAAAACGGATTTTTTTTTTTAAATGCAAGCCCTGTATTTTTTAATTTTAATTTTTATTGTTTTTTTTTTACACAGGAATACTGTAAATATACAATTATTTTCACAAGGTATTTAACATTAAATCAATATCTGTAGATAAACATCCTATTCAATCTAAGACCTATATTGTAATATATAATCTAATTTTGACACTCGTATGACGGCTGCAATAATTTACAATTGGTGTTTTAAACAATATTTTTTACTTTTATATACAGCTGTTAAACATTTATAGGTCCACAAGCTAATGACCTAGCTGTTGAAGCCTTTAATATCAATAAATAAAAAAAAAAAAAATTAATAGGTACTATTGTTTCTATTATGACTTCTGCATCTACAGGCTATAATAGAAGTTACATTATAAGTAGGTAAAGTAAAAGCAATGCTATGATTCGTACCAATATGTGTTGCTGCATTTCTATTCAGAGACGTTTTAAAGTAGATATTCACATACCTACCTAACCAATAATAAATTAAAACAGATAATTAGTAGAATCATTAGTGAATAGTGATATAGGTACCTACTTAAGTATACTATTCGACATTCGTGACATAATTTATTTCGAAACTTTTTTGTTTGAAATGAAAGCAAACATTTTTGTTTACTAAATATTAAACAGTAAGTAATACAATTCTATTAAATAGGTGTATTAAATGTATTAAATATTTAGTATATATTTATATATAATATATGACGTATTTTTCCGAATAAAAACCAAAACGTATCTAAAATCAATTAGGTACCAAAATTGTAAATCCAATCAAGTTAAAAATATGTCATATCTTTATATTGATAGTAGGTACTAAGTAGGTACCTATGGATTATCAATAAAGTTATTTCAATAAATTATACTTCGGAGTAACAAATAATAAAAATGCAATTTAGTGTAACATGGAAATTAAGTTCAACAACCGTTTATTCTCTAAACATATTTAAAGCTAATATAATTATAATTTTATTACACGTAGTTTATGAAACATTTGTGTTGTTGGTTGATTATAATTATTCTTCATGAAATATTTTTTTTAAGATGAAGACTTTATACTTAGGACTTAAGTCTTTATAACTTAAGTATCATAAAAGTAGTACAGTAAAAAATAACAAACATTATTAATGAGTTCAGAGTTGTAAGTTGTGAACTAGTTTGTAGTGCTTGGAGAACACGGAAAAATATTAAATCTTATTTATTAAAGAATGACCATAATAATAATATAACCATTATCAGATTAAGATATCAATGTTTCACTGTTCCGATAGTCATAGTTGGCAATATAAAATATGCGTTTCAACAAATTTCATAGTATAATATGTAATATATGTAACATAATATTATGATCTTTAATTCTTATTAATTGAAATAAAATGATCTAGGTAACAAAATAGTACCTAATAATATTAATAAATTATAATTAATTGATAGAATACTTATGATTATGCAATACGGAAATACCTATAATATGTATGTATATAAAATATACATATTGTATACATAACTGTATGCATTCTTCATTAATTTTAGAAATGAAATGTTGGAGCCGTCTAGACATATAATTGCATGTAATGATATTCATAAACCACTGTACAAAACAAATTAAAACTAGAGTAGACACATGTTTGATTCCTATGATTCCTAGAAATAATAAAATACATATTTTATCTATCATATTATGATAATCTAGAATAATTAGTTAAAACATTTTATAAGTGTACATACAGTTAAAGTAAATATTAAATTAATAATACATTCCCATGAATGTAAAAAAACCGCCTTTTTCTTTGTCTTGAGTTATCATTAGCTTAAAAAATAAATAACACACAATAATATAATATAATGCACATATAATAATTATTAATTTTGTATGTGATCCTTTAAAACGTTAATTAACTAAAAAAAAAATAAAATTGAGGAGAAGTAATGCTAACGCGGTTCCTCCTCCGTCCCTCGATTAACTCGGGAAAAAAAAAGTTAATTGATATAGGCATAACAATAAGTAGATATGTTTAGGGTATGTTATGATATCAAGACATTATAATAATAGTCTTAAGATAAAATATTTTTTTGAATCCACTCCCTTTTTAAAACAACGGACGGAGAAGAATATATATTTATATTATTTATATACCTATATCTATACATTACATTAATACTCAATGAACTAGTATAATACTAGTCTAATTGAGTATATAATAGTAGATTAAAAATAGTAGAGTACCTACACGATAGAAACAAGAAAAGAATTTTTTTTTCATTCCGAGGGAAAAGTGAAAGTTAGAAAATTTCTAAGTTACCTATGCTTGTACCTATGCTTGTCATGTCTCTCGACTAATCTGCTTTTTTCGCTGGTTCGACCGCTTAAAAGATAGAATACGTCAATACTAATAACTATTGATACCAAAATCGCCATTTTGGAAAAAAAGTGACTTTTTTAATAATTTTTTTTTTGGGGGGTTGAGGCTTCGACAACTGAGGTTATTTGCCTATGGAACTGTGGAAGAGGGTATTATAGGTTTTGAACACGTGTGTGTTTGTTTTGACAAAATTTTTAAGTGGGCACCCGTAGGTATCTGCCATGCCCGGTTGGGGGACCTCTCTCTCCGGACACCGTATCAGGACTGCCAGAAGAAAAATGCCGCCAATAGCCGAGTTTGAAACGGCGACGGTGCGCATCGCAACTTAACCTCTACTCCTTAGTTGGTTCTGCCACTCCGTCCCCCTTTTTGTTAATTTATTTATATACTCTATAGTCCATATTTATGCTATAATATTATATTATATGGTATAACCTATTTATTATTATTTT